TGTGGTACAGTGAATGTCGTCTGAGATACCCAAGCTTTGGCGAGAGTCTGCCATTCTATGCCGTTATATTGTAAATTCGACATCCTATAATAAGTAACAAGCAATCCATGACGTCACTATCTAAAATGTAAGCTGCAATGAGTAAACGAGTAGCATCACTTTGTGCTAAGCATAAGACCGACATCTTAGTAAATGAATTATTAATAAGGGCCTACCTGTTTATTGTGTTCTGATGTTTCATTTTATGGTGGGGCTGTGGTAAAATGAGGTAAAGAGATTTTTTTAGAAACTTTATTTATATTTTATTAGCATCATCATTTGTAACTGCATTTTTATAATTTAATTTAATCTCCGGGCACGTGGTATCACTGATAGGCCTGTCATGCTAAAATTGGTAAGGGCTAAAAAAGGTCCGGCGGGCAGATTTTGGCCGCCAAATTCGGTCCGCCGGACTACTTTTAGTCGCTAAAATCGGTCCACCGGGTCGATTTTAGCCTGGCCGCTTGTAACACGTCTGCTGCCCGTAAGGTATGATTGTTTCTTCCGTGGAGTGGAGGGAAGTAATTAATATACTTCTCCCACATTTGAAAAATCTTTTTAGTGACAGACGGACTTTTGTGGACGTGTGTTTTCACACATGACGATACATTCCTAGGCCAGGCGACACAAAGCATGCATTATTTTCGGCGGCCGTGCTTGGCCTAGGTTTGGGCCTAAAATAAACACAAGATTGATGTTTAGTTTTAAATATTCCGTATTATTGTGTGGGGTATTAGATCATGCAATAGTTGTTCTATTAAATGAAAATAAAGGGGCAATAATTTCTTTTACGATTTACGATCATATCGTTTAACCAATTGTTTTACACCAAAGAGACATGACAGGGCGCGAAGAGCGAAAATAACATACTAATTTGTGTGGCTCCTGTATACTCAATTGCACACACAACGAATTTAAAAAAATATTGTATAGTAAGAGATGAGATATTTATCTCATTATCAAACAAATATGAATGCTAAAAAAAAATACATGTTATAGCTATAGATGCCGGATCGATTTTGGCTTATGACTGCATTTGTTAATTTTAAAGCCAAAATCGGTCCGGTGGACCGATTTTAGCCCCGGACCAAATTTTTCCTGGCATGCCTAAAGTCCATAGGCATACGATAACAATATAAGAAAAATGTCATCGCGATCTTGGTCTTGGTGCACCTACCAGAAGTGATTTTAAAAAATGATTCGAGGGTGAGGAGGAGATTGAATTAGGGAACGTCCTGACCCTCTGTTTTTTAATTAAAAAATGGAATACAAAATAATGTTACAACATTTTGTGGCAACATAGGCCTAACTGAACACAAATTATAGGCAAATCATTACTGGGTATTTTGTTACGTTAATGAAGTAGGCCTTATTATTGCATGATTTATAAACTAATGAAATAGTC